GCAGTTTAAAGCCCTTTAACGAGTTTCTCATCAGGTGATTCAGGTGTGACTCTGTGAGGCGAGGCAGCGCTCACATACCTGCTGAGGCTCCTCTCTCGCTGTCTGAGCTCCTCCTTCAGCCTCTCCACCTCCGATCTCAGCTCCTCTCTCTCCCCCCTCAGACGCTCTCTCTCCTCGCTCTGGGGGTCCGGGCTGTGAGGGTCTCTGTGCTGCTGCAGTTTGAGTCTCTGGTTTTCTCTCCGGAGCTCCAGCAGCTCCTGCTGAGTCTGAGTGATGATGACCCACGGGTCCGGCGCCTGTGTCCTGCCCGGTCCAGCTGCAGAGGACGCTGGGGCAGGAAGGAGGGGCAGTGGGGCCGCGAGAGTGGGGGCAGAGGGCAGGATGAAATGAGATGGGGTCAGCAGAGCAGGGGAGGATGGACGAGTCACACCTGAGAGAGAGAGAAAAAGAGAGAGAAAGAAAGAGAGAGAGAGAGAGAGATACAGAGACTTTGACTTTTGACGGTCCTTTATTGAACCAGCACTTTCTTTAAAACAGTCATCCGTCACAAAGTGTCATCTTAGGCTATATTGAAATAAATTAATTGATTAAATAAAAATAAGACAAACACTTTATAAATAGATAAAAACAAGAAAACAAATAAAACCCAGTCTGGCTAATTTGAGCTCAGGAGCGAAGCAGAGCTCACCCTCGCACACCGAGCACACAGCCCCACCACAGCACCACATCGCCTCAAAGGCCTCCACATCACACATGGTCTTATAATAATTAAAATCAATTAAAATCCTTGATCTGACCAGCCTAGAGAGAATCCTTGTGGCCTCACAGTCAGTACCATGCGCCACCTTGTTCTTACGACTGATATATATCGCCATTTTCGCCGTTCCAAGAATGAAGTTGATCAGTTGGCATTTGGATTTCTCTCTTCTGACGTATTTAAAACCAAGGATAAAAGTCTGGAGTGTAAAAGTCACATTAAGAGACCTAAAAACAGTCTTTAAAACTTCAAACAAAGAGCAAAGCCTAAAACAGTCCATAAAAGCATGAAACACAGTTTCTCTCTGGGGACAAAAAGGACACTGTGGTAAAATCTCAGGATTTAAAACAGAAATAAAAGCGTTGACTGAGACAATACCGTGTAAAATCCTCCACTGCAGGTCAGCTACTTTTTTAGTCAATGGTGGTTTATACAGTGCTCTCCACTCCGGCTTCACATCATCACTCAGATTAAAAACATCACGCCATGGTGTGTCGGTTCTACTGTGCAGTCTTTTCTTATTCAGTACCTTCACACAGGCTCTGTACAGCAGCTTACCAGACACTGTCCCCAAGTTCATTCTGGACTCCCCCTCACACTCCAGAAGGGGGCCTTCACAGTCCTGTAGGTCCGGCGTGATAGTGATGTCCGGGAATGGGTCATGCTCTGTAGGACTGACCACCCCTGCACTGTAGGCCCTCACCTGCTCGCGTTCCTCAGGAGAGAGAGGTCCGGCGACGTCCACCAGCCGGCGTAGGGTTGTGACTCCCGATGACAACAAGACTCTAGTCAGTGCAGGGGTGATCGTGCCCGCCAAGTCCAGTCGTGTGCCGTTGAAAAGAGGCTCCTCCAACAGCCAGTGCAAAGCGGAGCCAGCCTGTTTATCCACATTAAAAAAGTCCCAGATTTTAAAAAGTCCTCGATAAAAAACAGGCAACCCAGCAATGTCCAGTGTTTTTGTGCTCATTAAAAACAATGCTCTGTCCAACCCCAGACCACCTACTGCGTGTAATATTGTGCGAGATACCGCCCTCCAAACCAGCTCACTGGGACCAGCAAGAAGCCTCTGGATGAACTGGAGTCTGAAGGCAGCGGCCCTGCTAGCCAAGTGGACGAGTCCTTGCCCCCCTTCCTCTTTTGGCAGATGTAGAACTCCCTGCGGAATCCAGTGCAGTCAATCCCAGAAGAAGTCCACTAGCACGGCTTGCAGGTTTGCCAGCAGATTCGGTGGGGGGTCCACACAGGCCAGTTTATGCCAGAGCGATGATGCAGCGAGGTTGTTGATAACAAGCACCCTTCCCCGATAGGACATCTGGGGGACTAACCATTTCCACTTACTGAGGCGTCCTTTAATCTTTTCCACCATGCCATCCCAGTTCTCTGCACTACAGGTACTGTCCCCCAGATACACCCCCAGATATTTAAAACCACCCCTTCTCCACATCAACCCATCTGGAAGCGCGGGTTCCCCACCATCCCAGTCACCAACTAAAACTGCTTCACTCTTGGTCCAGTTTACTTTTGCAGACGATAAAACCCTAAAATCATTTCAAATTCTATCTAAAACATCCACATCAGTCTGGGTACTTGCTATCACAACAAGGTCGTCTGCATACGCTGAGACACACAGTGGAGCAGAACAGCCAGGTATAAACAAACCGGAGATGCAGTCTCTCAGTTTGCACAACAGAGGTTCAATAGCTAGAGAGTACAGCATGCCAGACAGAGCACAGCCCTGCCTAATACCTCTGTGCACTTTAAAAGGAGCACATAAACCACCATTAACTTTGAGCACACTCTCAACGTCACTGTACAAAACCTTGATCATGGCTATAAAACCTGGGTTGAAACCAAAGTTCTCCAGAACTTTCCACAGATATGCATGTTCAACCCGGTCAAATGCCTTTTCCTGATCCAAAAAAATGAGACCAGTCTTTAAGCCCAATAGTCTGGAGACTTCCAAAACATCACGGATTAGATATACATTGTCAAAAATTGACCTTCCAGGCACACAGTACGTCTGGTCAAGGTGAACCACCTGCTCCATCACCTTCCCCAGTCTCGAGGCTAACGTTTTTGAGAGCAGCTTGCAGTCAGTGCACAACAGAGAGACGGGGCGCCAGTTCTTCAGTTCAGCTAGGTCCCCCTTCTTGGGTAGCAGGGTTAGAACGGCCCTCCGACAGCTCAGCGGAAGCTTCCCTTCCCTTATGCTGTTCTGGAGGACATCCAGCACATCCTGCCCCAACACTGACCAAAACGCTTTATAAAATTCAACAGGGAGACCGTCAATACCTGGCGCCCGACCATTCTCCATGCCCTGGAGAGCCTCATACAGCTCCCCCAGAGAGATATCTGCATCCAGCACTGCAGCAGACTCTCGCGTGAGCTGGCTGAGGTCACAGAAGAATCCCTCCTCCACCTCTCGTGCCTCTGCCCACTCGCTCTCGTACAGCTTTGAGAAAAAGCTGATTGTCTGCTGCCGAATTTCAGAAGGCTCAGATAAGAGATCCCCTGATTCTGTACGCACAGCATGCATAAACCTTTTCTGTCCATTTCTGCACTCGAGACCGAAGAAGAACTTTGAAGGAGCATCCATTTCCGACACGCACTGGAAACGTGAGCGGACCAGCGCCCCCTGTGCTGTTATGCCTAAAAGGTCAGCCAATGCAGTCTTTTTAGTTTCCAGAGCTTCAATATGCCCCCGATTTCCTGTGGCCTCTGCTAAACCCTGGAGCGCCACTATTTCAGTCTCCAGAGCTTTGAGAGATCTGGCTATGTCCCTTGTGACATTGAGAGTGTACTGCTGACAGAATACTTTAATTTGTATTTTAGCTATGTCCCACCACTGTAGCAGGGAGCTAAAAGATGTTTTCATTGAGCTAAAAACATCCCAAAAAAAAGTAAAAGACTCTCTAAAATTGGCATCCTCTAAAAGCGCAGTGTTAAAATGCCAGTATGCACTCTGTGGCTTAACGTTACGCTTCCTTACTGTGCACTGGACCATACAATGGTCTGAAAAACCAACTGGGGAGGTAAGACAGCATGTAAAAGCAGAAACCACAACCTGCAATTATGGAGTCCAGAGTGTCCAAAAAGGACATCCTGTCCATCCCCCCAGTTGGGGCGTAAACACAAATAAAAACAAAAACAGTGTTCTCAAAACACGCTGTCACTTTTAAAAGTCTGCCATTTAAAACTTCATCCACTGAATAAGAATAAGGAGTAAAACTCTGTGATAAAAGAACAGCCACCCCACCACTGGAAGAAGAGTTATGACTTAAAAAGGCAAGCCCCTCCCACTCTTTACCCCAGTCTGCAGTGTTACTGACGTCACTATGCGTTTCCTGTACAAATATTACATCAAGTCTCTTCTGCTTCACCAACTCAAACAGCTTTGCCCTTTTACCACAGTCTCTCGCCCCATTAATGTTCAGACTCGCCACTCTGACATCACCCATTAAAAAATAAAATAGATAAAACACAATAAAAACAGAGGCCATTCTGAACCAGGGAGGGCAGGAAGTGTCAGTTCTCATCCTCAGTGCTCACTTTATTCAGTCTGGTCAGGATCTTCTTCAGCCTGTAGACTTCTAAAGCGGTGAAGGACCCTTCCCTCCTAAAATGCCTGACGTCATGAATGAACTGTGAACTATTTGGGAAACACGGATGCCCTTTTGGCCTTTAGTGACCCGCAAGAACTTTCTTATATCATCAACTTTATAGAGCACAGCCATGTTCTCTTCCTGCGAGCACACCGACCAGCCCGAGTCAGACAGAGAGCCTTCGCTCTCAGACTCCACCTCATTCACCGCACTGCTGTCTGTGTTGGCCTGTTTAGTGCCCTTCCCTCGGTTCCGCTTCTTTCTTTTATGAGGAACTTTAAAAACAGTCTCCTCTTCCATTTCCACCTCCACTGTAGCCTCCACTGCTGTACCAGCTAGACTGACCTCAGTCCCGCTGTCCCTCACCTGGTTATCTTGCTCCCCCGGGTCAGGAATCCCCTGCTCCTGCTCCTCACCACCAGGCTCGTCCACAGCGGGCTCCTCCACGGTTAGCGCCGCCGGGAAAGGCTCAAGTAGCAGCCGCAGGGGGGCCGGCCACCGCGGGCTCAGCCGTGGCAGGCCCCGGCCGCTCCGCGCTCCCGGCATCATTAGCGTTAGCGCCGAGTTTTTCAGGGCAGGCTCGGACGAGGTGTCCGGTCAGGCCGCACCTGAAGCACTTCATGTTGGTGTCAGACGACACAAACACCGTGTACTCAAACCCCTCCACTCTGAACTTCAACACCAGGTCCAGCTCGTCCTCACCATCTCTCAGCACCATGAACACCAACCTCCTGAACGACACCAGGTGCTTCACCAGGGGCGATTTACAGCCGAGGGGGATCTTTTTAATGGGGGAGACAAGTTTCCCAAATCGGGACAGCTCCTGAGCGATCAGCTCGTCAGAGATAAACGGGGGGGACGTTGGACAGAATGATCCTTTTGGAGGGAGTACTGAGGGGCAGAACAGACACGAACTGATCACTGATCACGAGTCCACTCTGCACCAGCTCGTTGGCTTTGTCCACAGTGGACAGGAACATCACCACAGCACTATTCATACGCGAAGCAGACACAACATTATTGTACCCGACGACGCTCCCCGCCGCCAAACAGCACTCCTCCACACTCGCG